AACGAGCTTGCATGGGATTCGCGGTATTCACAAGAATAAGCTCGATAACAACACAAGGCAAAGTCCAACTCGCCAGTCCCGCCATTGATTCAAATACAGACTAAGGCCCAAGCCTCATAACCCCGCCCAAAGAAATCCTGCACTCCACTCAAGCCACGTAGAGTGTAACCTTTGACCCCGAAGAAACAAACATACTGAACACTTAGGTAAAACGCACGGTAAGACCCGTTGATTTTCTGTACCTTGGCCACATGTGAGCTATAGTCTCAACTCCCAGTATCCCCCTTAATAACCCCTATAATAATCCCCTGTATAATCTCCTATATGTCCCCCTTCGAATATTTAAGACTATGGCTCACAAACAACACGGCCTCTTCTTCGGTGAGGCCGTGCGTGATCAAATCGACAACACTGCCTGAATCAAAGGTCTGAAGCCGGGCACTAAGGGGATTAGTGCCCGGCTTCAGGGGATTATAGGGGTATATTATAATATATGCATAGCATATTATAGTATTTTCATAGTATATTACAACATATACTTGTAGTATTTTATAATATATTTACCATATGTTTATAGTATATTTATAGAAGATGATAGTAAATTATTGAATATTTCTAGCATGTTATAGTATATCTGAAAATATACATCATATATTTATAGTATACTATAAAAAATATCGGAAAATTATAGTATATTGTTTTCGGTCTTTAGGGTTTAGGGTTTTAGGGTTTAGGGTTTAGTGTTTAGGTTAGGGTTTAGGGTTTCCCGAAGTTAGGGTCTCATTTTGGCGCCCCTAAATATTAGGTGCTGTACTATACTGTAATCCAGACACAAAGGGGCCCTTAGTTGTGAGAATAACCCCATGTAGAGGCAGAGGTTTCAGTGCCCCAAACCAAGCCATGCTGTGACTATACCTCCCGAGTTTTTACTACACTCCTTCCTCAAGTGTAGCTACTACCAAGGGATCTCCAGATACTTGCATTACCCTAAACCCTAAACCCTAAACCTTTTAACGGGAGTGCCCCAGTTAGGAAAGGATCTCGACTCCTGGCGCCAGGAGCTCCTCAGCCATGCGGCAATTCATCCAAAAACAACAACTGGCCCAGCACAAAATAGGGTTTAGGGTTTAGGGTCGGTCGTTTTTTTTAAGCGCCTCTTTTGCTCACTGCCGAACAAAGGGTCCCTTAGGCCCAGGCGAAATTATGCTCCCTTAGGCACCTGAAATGTTGCCAGCTTCTAGAACCAGTTTGTAGGGTTTAGGGTTTAGGGTAAAATTCTTAGGTGTCAAGTACTAGGGCTTTTCAAGTTCAACCTATGGTGCATGTGGACGCTAAAGGTTACCAGTGGACGTGTAAGCAAAAGGATACGCAGACGCGTCAAATTAAACATGACTCCCCATAAACAACTACAAAACCACCCTTTCCATTCCATTTTCCAAATTCTATTCCATAAGATTCTCCGCTGTTGGGGGTAACATCCCTTAACCCTAAATACTCAATAGTAGTTTCCATTTGCTCTCCACTCTAACCGCATACATCCCCTCTATAACCCCTATAGCCATCATTGGGGTAATAGAAACCTATATATACATCTATATACACGGGTATAAAATGATATATACATATATGTACATGGAGATATATATATATATATAGATGTGTGTGTGTATATAAGTATGTGTGTGTATGGGTAATCCTTGACTTGGCAGCAGGCCGTCGGCGCAGGCGATGTCCAGGGTGGCCCCTGCAGAGTCCAGCGACGAGGCCATCTCGTAGAGGCCTTCGCGGCGTCGTCTCAAGGGGACACACAGTTTAGGGTTTAGGGTTTGATAAAAATTGAACACCAATAATACAAGTAATAGTAATCGTAGTAATAATAATCATAATACCAGTAATAGTAATAATAGTAATCATAAAATAAGCAGTCACTAGATAACCTCAAGGAGTGTTCTATGAAAGTACAGAATACCCCCGTAGGGACTAAGGAAGGGAGCTCCAAAAGAAATATAGGTGTCTCTGAAGGTTGGCTTTGAGCTACGCAGGGCATTTCTAGAAGCGCGGACTTTCTGAAGGCCTATAGTAAGTTTTATGGAGGAGACATCTACCCTGGGGGAGCTTTGAAGAGCTCTGCATATCTCTACGAGTGGAGAATAAAATGAAGAGAAAATGGAAAACGAGATGAAAACTGGGATTATGTAGTGGTCATGGGGATAATGTTTCATTTAAAATTAGGAGTAGGGGCTTGGGGGTTGGCATTGCAAGCATTTCTATACTAGCCGCAGACCTCACTAGTCGTATCTGTGATCTAAAGTACAAGTATCTAAAGTACAAGTAGCAACTATGAGGGGCATAAATTATAACCTTTCCTACCTAGGGCCTCAATCTCAACTACCAAGTGCCTGTTGCATTTGCGTTTTGGGAGAGTTGGCCCTCAGTGTTGGTGCGAGATGCGGTGAGATATGCCATGCGCATCAGAAGTCTGGATGTTCTAGGGAGGGGGGCGCTGTATAGCACGCAATCGACAAGTGTGGTCTTGCACGCTGACAAAAGGAGTTCCCTACCAAAAAGACAATTCCGGGATAGCGTAGAGGCGTAGGGCCTCCTAGAACCCTGAACTTCTAGAACCCTTTTGTCTAGAACCCTTTTGTCTAGAACCTTGAAGCCCTAAACCCTAACCCCCTAAACCCTAAACCCCTAGAACCCTGAATCCCTACACCCTACCACCTAAACCCTAAACCCCAACCCTCTCTGCGCCGCCGGCAGATGTGGCTGAGGTGCTGGCACCAAGTCCGCTTGAAGTAGGTGGCCTCTCTGCAGCTTCTTAGACCATTATCACTATGACTATCATTATGAGAGAGCGGCCTGCCATGGAGCCTGGGTTTTTGCAAACTTTTTTTCCGTTGCTTATGTGTTTCGTTTGGTCCCGGTCCTCTGCACATTCATCCACCCCCAACCTTCGCCATATAAGAGAGCTCAAGCTCCAGTTGATTCTATTGAATGTCTATGCCCCATGACAGTGCCTTCTGTATTATTAACGCTATGACGTGAAGGATTGCTCAAAATCAGGGACGTGGCGAGCTCAAGAAACTCCCGTGTAGGCGTTTTGGGAACTCGTGTTGCAGCATGTGATGGGATCTCGGGTGCCCCGTACCCTTGACCCCAAAAGCCCTGATGACCCTACGAATCTAACAAGGAGGCACCGAACGACAACAAAACTCCTTGGGCGGGTTGGAAAAATACGAAGAACGGAGAGACAAATGGAAAGAACATGAAGAATGAAATGGAACTCGGTTGGGTTTTACGTTTGCATCAAGTGCCTCACAATCTTACTGCCCTACATGACCTCTGTGCATGCCTATATAATCCCTTTTTAATATAGATTCCCTTATTCCATGCTAACCTCCAGTAAAGCAGTTGTGGCTCTCCAGTTTTGGGGTAGTTCGACATTCTCCTCAGATCTAGGGGGTTTAGGGATTTAGGGTTTAGAACTTTTAGGGATCCAGGTGTGGACAGTAGAATCAGCTGACTGAGACTAGAGAACGATTTGCGGTGTTTAGACATTCTATGCCCTAACCTGAACCCTAGACCCCAACATAATTGTGTTTAGGGAGCTTGGAATCAAGAAGAAGGAGCGATAGAGACTTACAGGCAAGCTACTCAACTTGCCGAGGTAAGAACGTAATTTTGTTTATGTTTTTGGGTTTAGATTGGTGCTTAACATGCCAGATTGAGTTATGCGGAAGTTCGCCTTGATCCGACCAAACACTGAATCCTCAACCCCCAGCCCTCCTCCCAAACCCTGGGGCTCCAAGAACCCTACTTGTTAGCTTCAATGGGATCCAAAAGGGTGGCTCTCAAAATTATGGGCCCCTTTTGATTATAGATTATATTACGGCATCTAATACCTAGGGGTACCAAAATGGGACACGAATTTTGCGCACCATCAGGGTTTAAGGAGGTAATTGCAAAATGGATTTCTAAGGACTTGAAAATTCTTCTCAGAAGACACTACCCTCGATTGCGGTCTGCAGTACTCCCACTAACAAAACCACTCAAGTCTCCTGGGGATCCAAGACAACCAGCAGCTTGAACTTGCCTTGGCTGCGTGGGAGCTTGCCTATAAGAAAGGGTCTCCAAAATTAGGGGCCCTTGTTGTGGTCGTATTCAAGGATTTATAAGCTATAGGTATAGGGATTGGGTCTGGGGTTTTGGGCCTTGGGGCTTCCAAAAATGTTGGGCATCTTTTTGGGAGTCCTTGCAATGAGGATTGTAGTATGCTGGTGTGTTCAATAGCCTCGTGTTGTGACGGAGGGCTAAATGTGGCGGCCCGTGCACGACAAGTGTATGTCAATTCCCCAAAATACCTCATGAAAACAGTGGCTGCAGTGATGATGTTTGGCACTCGCAGCATTTCCCTACATGAAAAGCCTCATGTGGAAGATCAAAGATCAATCTGTTTACCTCAGGGCAGCACGTATGGGCGGTCCACAGCTTCAGAGGCAGCAAAGACTTACTCACTGGCTCTTAGTAGAAAATAAGTAAATATAATGCCTATATGATACCCATACGATATGTTCCCATATTCCTACTGGCCCTACTAAATGCCAGTAAGCAAACAAACAAAAAAGAAACAATCCTCGATAACGTCCCAGTTGCAAACCTCCATCGGCTTGTGGAAAGGCGCCTGCATCCAGAGTCACTGCCGTCATAGCGTGATATGCTAGGAGATTCTCAACTCAATTTTCTATCATTTGTCAAGACCAGCGGGCGGTTCACGTGGAACGATGAGAGCAGCGCGTGGCGAATCAGGCCAGCACGTTACAAACAAAAGGCAACTGCAAAGGCTCTGTACAAAACACTCCCAGACATTCGGCACAGCAACGGCAATGACTGTACAAGCGAGCCATGCCTGCTTTTTGGATGGACGAACACGTGCAGCTGCGCAGTATACCTTTACAAGCATTGGTTGCCCAAAAGAAGGCTTGCAACCAGGCCCGCCCTCATGCACCTGCACGATGCGCATTCGCCAAGATCTGGTACCTTTTGTTTGGAAGGGAGAATGGAAACTAAAATGGAGACTACTATATTATACTAGGGCATATAGTGAGGTTATATAGCTATGGTTAAACAGAAAATGAAAAACTACTAGGAGCCGTAGTCAAGGGGTCCCTGCAATAACGGGGAGAACTGGGGTTGTCATATGGCCTTCAAGGATTACACGACTACTTCGAAAGTCCCCATGACAAGCCAAGTAGGTTCGATAAACAGGAAGGCCCATACATCCCCAACACAGTATAACCCTTGTTTCTACAGGAAAGAACCCCAAAACTGGGATCCCTAACATTTTGAAAGCCTGCACCTCTCTTCGGCTGCCTTCTGTAGACCTGCCCGATCAAACTTCCCCACGCTGTTGAGCGGAATCTCGTCCAGAAACCAGTAGCCTGAGGTGTCCAGACCCAGGGCTCTACCTAGATTCATGCTTTTGGGATTGTACAATTTCCAGAAAGGGTTAAAGGCTGCTTACTGAACGAATCAGTGGCACACTGGAACCTCGTAAGTAGCTAAGCGTTTGGACATGTGTTCTGCCAGGGATGCATTTGCTGGAGGGCAAGCCTTATCCTTGGCCAAAACCCATGCAATTGGAACTTGACCATCCAACTCGTCAGGCACTCCAACCACAACCGATGACTGTACCTCCGGATGCGTGGCCAAAACTCTCCTGCGTTGGCTTCTCCCGTTGCCTCCTGAAACCGCTTGTAGACGGATACATCATAACCTGAAAGGACACTGAGAAACGGTACCCAAATACATCCCAGGATCTCAACTGCAGCAGGCGCAATGTTGGATCCGCGGCGAACTATGATGAGCTTGCGGCGGCCCACAAACCATAGGTAGCCATCTTCGTCCTTGCGGGCAATATCTCCAGTCCGCAACCAGCCATCCTGGAACAGCGAGGATGTGGCCTCAGGATCATCCCAATAGCCTACTGCTGCAGATGGGGTCTTGAGAAGCACCTCTCCTGGCTGGCCCAAGGGTACGGCCTTGCCATCCACATCGACAAGTCGCACCTCTGTTCTAGCAGTGGGGAGGCCAATTGAACCTGGCTTCTCCTTCCCAATTGGCTGCGTGGCAAAGTATCCACCGATTTCCGTGATGCCGCAGCCTTCCAACCTAGAACACGATCACAAAATCAAGAAAAATCGCGTATTCCCTTTTTGGTAGGAAGACCCCTAGAAAACATGTGTATCCTGAATGGGCCGAGTCGCACTGGCCAGCCAAAAAGCTTGTGGAATCTCGACTGGACATGTAGAGGAACGCTGTCTCCGGAGCCAATAACTCGCCTCAAGCTTGGGAGGTTGTGGTCAGATATCTCCAGGTAGTCCACAAAATCCAAAAGGAAGCTCGATAGCATGGCCTGTCAGATATTGAAAACATCCTGTAGGCCCCTAGGCCACTTGAACGGAATTCTGCGGAATCTTCTAGCAAAAAGGCCTAGATGCGGAGGAAACCCTACAGGAGATACTTCTTCATGGCATAGATCTCCCAATAATGCTTAGGCTGCGTGGGAACATTCCAAAGATGGGTAGATTTTTTGTGTCTTTTTTTTTAAAGACTTGACTGCAGCTTTGGCTATATTGGTGCAGATGCAGTGTAATCCCAAGGACTCCCAGACGTATGAATGGCCCACAGCCCTATCAAGCCCGTGATGTAAACCTGCTCCATCCATCCTAGCCACATACACACTGACATGAAAGCGCCGGATAAGGTCGACAGCTGTGGCCGCTGGCGGGACCATGGAAAGCACCACCTCTCCTCTCATCATCCTGGGCTTAAGCTTGATAGGTTCGGGCTCTGGCAGCTAAAATGCATACACATTGGGGATCTGTACGTAGGGCTCATAAGCTTTCCACACGACCTCACTGTACGGTGCCTACACGCTTTAGATTGTCTTCAGGGCCCTACAGGTTAGGTTGGGACCCCGTCTCTGCAACCACGAGGTGTACAGTCTAATGCAAGAGTTGGGGGAGTAGGATGCAGGCCCCCCATGGTCACCAGATATTGTAAAGCAGAAGTTAGTGCAGGCTACGGGCTCAGGGCATAATCAAGGCTGAATATCTAGGGCTTTCGGGACCTGAAATGCCGAGGTGCTGAGGTTCAGAAACTTACAATTTAAGGCTCTGTGGGTTGCCTGCCTGCTTTGCATCGGGAGAGTGAGGGGGCTGAGGGTTGATAGAAATTATTTTGGCACAGGGCATTTCTGTAATGTTTGAATATTTCAAAAACTTTGGATGTAGGTGTAGGCGAAAATGAGTTGCCAGCGTAAGGGATGGTAATCCCCTCCCTCTGATAAACACCCAACTGCCTGATAATCAATGCCCCAATCAATACCCCCATAAAATACCGCTGTCAAGACCCCAATAAAATACCATTGTAGAATAGTGATTCTCAGGGGAGTGGGGTTACCCTGAATAACATATTCGTTGCCATGTTCCCCCCCCTAAATCCGTGTACTACCGCTTGTTTCTCAAGAGGAGAGTAAAGAGAAGGCAGCTCTGGCTATGGGAGTTCAGCAAGCTCTATACGTATTGAGCACCCCCGTGACATGGAAACAAACCCTAAAACCCTAAACCCTAATGACCGAAGGTACTAATTCAAGCCTTGGGGTCTAGGCTTCGCGCCTTGGGGCTTAGGGCCGATAGTCTCCCTTAAGTAGATAGAACATGGCTTTGGGTACATTGTAGTAAGATCCCCATATACCCCATATTCGCCTACATACACGCACCCAAAACCAATAACAAAACAAAACCCCACCTTACATGACCGGGGTCCGGAGAATCATGCTGGAGTTTGAAGTGTTTCAGATGTAGGCTTACTCCTGCTAGCACTCTACTCGCGGTAGATGCCCCAATGTTCGACTTCTCTTGTGCTTACTAAACATGCTGGCATTGAGAAGCGGTCAAGCGCACGTGAACTTCTGCCAAGCAGACTAGAATCAGAGTTGGCAGCAGCTGCGTCTGAAGACCACCTGCATGAGTAATGGCTTTCCCCACAAGCACCACATCGTCACTTCGCAGCTGAAACGCTTCCGCAGAAATCCTGATGGCTGCCCAGCATGTCCCATGGGAATGCAGAACACCTTTAGGGCGGCCCGTGGACCCGGAGGTGAAGAGAATCAGGGCAGGATGCTCCGTGCTAACTGGTGCAGAGCTTGCCTCAACATCGGTTTGCAGAAACTCATCCCAACTTCTGTGTGAGAGTCGCTGAGATGTCTGCGCGCCAATGACTATCAGCTGCAAGTGGGCAGGCAAGTCTTGCAGCACATCCAACTTGCCGACTGAAAGAAACAGCATTTTGGCTTGCACCTTGTTGACCATGTATGCAACCTCATCGGAAGCATAGCGAACATTGATCGGGACGGATACTGCACCGATGCTGTAACAGGCCAAGGTGCAGGCAACAGCTTGCAAGCAGTTCGGCAAAAGCCACCCAACTCGATCCATCGCACCAATACCCAAGTTCATCATAGCAGCGGACACCCGCCCCACCAAGGAATACAGCTGAGAGTAGCTAGCATCACCGCTTTCTGTTCTGATGGCGATCTTTTGTGGGCACGCTTTGGCCGACCTTGCCAAGAGTTGCTGCAAAGGTGTGCCATCTGCCTTTGCAGCTGCCATGGCTGAAGTGCCCACAATTGCTAGATCTCGATTAAACCTGCAGCCAATACAGCACAGAATCTAAGGATACCCCTTTCAAGATGCCACTGCCGTGCCAAGTTCATGTAATCCACACTCACTAATATGAACTGTCAAAGATAAATTCTTTCAATTGGGGACCCCAAGAGAACCCAGTCATCTATCGTTCTAGAAGGATTGTCAGGGCCCTAACTGAGAATTGTACAAGGAGTATTTTGAGAAATAACCATACCTCAAAACTGCATAAGGGCTGCCGCACTCCGTGCCCTTGCGATGGCCTGAGTGGGGTCCTCTGTGATCTCACCTGGAATCAGCAAAGTTAGCTTGGCGCAGGAAGAGTTCACTGGCTGCGAACCCAAGGAACCAAAGGTAGGGTACTGCCCCCGATCTAAATCTTCGAAATAGATTTCATAGCACATTTGTAATTTCTTCCCAGTTTTTTTGGCGGCTGGGGGAGCGCTGTTTGAATGGGCGATGTGTATACCTTAGCCCACGGCGCATAACTGCATAACTGACCGCCAGGCACAGAGTTTCCCCTGGACATCAGCAGCCCAACCAATGCAGGCCTTTAAACTTTAAAAAAAAAGGGGAAATTTCAGGTGGTGAGGTACCAGGTGGGCACCGTTGCATAAAGTTTTGTATGAGACTTACATGAGGAATCTAGGACTATACAAGGGCCATGTAAGGCTAATATGGGGGAAACTACCCACCTGAAATTTAGACTTACTTCCCAGGACATGAAGGCGTAAACCCCACAAAACCCTCACAACCTTGAAGTGCCTTCCCCGCAAGACCCTAAACCTGAAACCCTAAACCCAAAACTGGGTTGCTGTTAAGGAACTTAATTTAAGTTACTATATTGGGGAAACCCTATTATTTACCATATATATATATATACCCATTATGGTAACTTAATTTAAGTTCCTTAACAGCAACCCAGAAAACACCCCAAGAACGGTCAAAGCCTGGCCAAGGCCGGTACTCGGTTTAGGGTTTAGGGTTAGGGTTTAGGGTTTAGGGTTTAGGGTTTAGGGTTTGGGGTTTGGGGTTTAGGGTTTAGGGTTTAGGGTTTAGGGTTTGGGGTTAGCCTGGAGCCCCCAACACACCAAGGCCAGCTGCGTCTTGAAAGAAAAGTTCGCGCGGATTAGGGTTTAGCTTTAGTATAACAAGTCTTGATACGCTAAAATGCTTCAGCGTTCTAACCACAAGTCTTCATCTTAGCTATCTGTATCATTCTCGTTCTTCGTAGTCGTTGTTGCTGCTATTACTATTACCCTTATTACTGCTAAAGCCATGACAATGACTATTCCCATTCATTTAAGAAGAGCCTGGAGACTCCAAGCACCTTTGTTGAAACAAAAACAAGGGTCCTGAGTTTGAGAAATGCGTTGTCAAACTCAGGGTCAGCCTCAGGAACTCCAAAAAGTCCATTCAAGAAAGGTTCCTCACAAAGGGCATGCTTTTGCCAACTGATTAAACTGTCAAAAGCTTTGAGCAACCCTAAACCCTCAAGCTCAGGATAAATAGAAACTGTCTAGGGTCATAAACAACTCAAAGCAAAAGAACAAAAAAAACTACCAAAACCCGCTCAAAACTCCGGGCACGAACCCTATACAATTTCTATTGACCCAAATGACCCAAAACAAGCTCCCAAGGCCAGCACTCTGCTTCTCATACAGCCTGCAGGCAAACGCCCAGATCCTTCACAAAGAAGAAACGGTGCTTTCAGCAGTTACCTAAGGTTTAGGGATTAGGTAGGCATATCATGAGACATAGGAGGCACAGGAGCCAAGCCAGCGAAACTGGTGCAAAGCTGTTTGCTGTCCGAGCAGAATCGGAATTGAAGGTAGAGATGGTTTACTAAACTCTCGAGTTTAGGGTTTAGGGTTGACCCCCAACCCCTTTATAATGAATGTTCGCAATCTTGTACCCGCATCTAAAACTGTAAGAAATCTCTTTTACTTGTTTTACTGAGGGTCAGTCAGGAATCAGGGGATATCTTTTGCATGGGGATTATATTCCCTTATGCCCTACGAGCTCCGAGTAATGTACTCCTGATGTGATTAATGAACCCCGTCCCCTTAATAGGGAGTATAATTGGGATCCTACTATTAAGACCCTTACAAGGAGGGCTTTTCCTAATCATGGATTTAGCGCTAAACCCTAAACCCTAAATAGTAGCTTCCATTTTCTTTTCCATTATCCCTATACAATCTCTATATTCCTCCTAAACCCTAAACCCTATAGTAAGCTTGGGGAATGGGAGAAGAGCCCTCGTTTCCCGGAACCCGCTTCACTGCAGAGAGGCGAAGTCCGAAGAGGTGCAGGCAAATTGGCGAAAGCCTTTTCATCATTTGAGCTATAATCTAAACTCCTATAATGGGGCTATGGGAATGATGTAGGGCTATAAAAAAAAGTTAGGGTTCAGGGTTAAGGGTTACATGAGCCATGGTCTAAACTCCTGGTATTCCCCCCAATACTCCCTTATGATACTTCCCTAAAAGCCCCTGTAGCTCATTTGCCTAGCCCTAATAAGTCCAGAACCAAGAAAGTCTCCTCTGGGTTGCGTGCTGCACTTGCTCGGGAAACCCCCGAATAGATAGGACAGATAAACCCCACCAGCATGCAGATGCAATGAAACCCTTGTCGGAAATCAGCAGACAACAAAACACTTACAGCGAAGCCCACAATCCCCAACCCTAAGCTTCATTTCAAAACCCTGACCCTTGATAAAATCATTGCCAGGAATTTTCAACCCCGGATTTCATATCTCTTGAGTCATCTGCGAGGTAACAGGATTCTTGACAGGGTAACCATAATATGTTGGGGTTATATAGGGATAATGGAAAAGAAAATGGAAGCTACTATTTAGGGTTTAGGGTTTAGGAGGAATATGGAGATTATATAGGGATAATGGAAAAGAAAATGGAAACTACTATATTCTTAAGCCACGGCAATTCATGGATGTTTCTATATGCAAGTTTGAGGCCTGCTTTGCCTCACAATTACCCTGGCTCATGTCTCATGTAGGATGCTCTAATTGTAGTCCCCCTGAAGTAGATAGAATATGGCCTTGGGTATATTATAATAAGATCCCCATATACCCTATATTCTATCTACTTAAAAGGGTCTATAACTCCAACATGGTCTGTCAAGGCATCCTCCGCATTGTCTTGCTGGATACTTCTCAAAGGAGGGCGCCCTGAAGCGTATGGATCATGACGAGCCCCGTTGCAGGGACCACCCGGCAAGGGACCCCTGATTTCAGTCATCCCCCCCCCCCTACTTCTAGACACGTTCAACCTAGGCAAGCAATGCACCAAACACTCATATTACATAGTGTAATCTTAGCAACAGTAGCGAAAAAAGGGCAATATCAATAAAGACTAGTAAGTATTCTTGGTATTGGCATTACTGTTATTCCAGCGAGGACTAGGATATTACTTTGGTTATGCTTCGGGAGTGTCCCTACCTAAACCATGAACCCTTAACCCAATTATAACCCCAATTATAACCCCAATATAACCCCCATATAACCCCTATATAACCCCAATATAACCCCTATATAACCCCTATATACCCCCTATATATACCCCAATATAACCCTTTAACCGCAGTCAACTCCCCGGTCCAGTAGGAGCTGTCGGCTGTGAGGCCGCGAGTGGCGCAGTGCTTTAGCACAGAGTCCGCCAGGCCCACGACCTCCGGTGGCCATAAAGAGTACACAGGGGTTATGCAAGTATATAGGGATATGAAAGATATGTATAAACGTATGGATATACAGGGTTACATGGGGGTATCTAGCGTTTTGGTGACCTTGCCAAGAAGGCTCAACATTTCGTTTCGGGTTGAGTGTTGTTTGGGTTCGGGCGGTTGAATCGTACAGGCGTTTAGGATTTGTAGTTGGAAGAGCCGCGGGATGATCATCTCCCTGCTTTGGCGCCTGGCGGGCTAGCATTCTTGGCACACCCCTGCTTGCAGCATGAGAGCTTCGTAGGGATTTGTTCAGGTCTGTTGGCATATTGGTTTTTGTTAAGCGTGCCACTTTGAAGGTTTAGAGACTTTGGGGGCTTTGAATTTAGGAATTCGAGTGGATGAGAGTCCAGGAACCGGGAATTCGAAAGCTGACCCATTCTCACTATCTTCGCTTGTGGACTTTCTGCCTTGTAACATGGCCACGATGCCTGTTCATACCCAGAAACAATTCCACCACCACAAGCAGGCATGCACCCCTACGACAGTCCGAACGGAAAAAATACTTGCAGCCCGCAGCATCATTCCCATGCAGCTTCCACAGCAGCTTCTCAGGATATCAAGAAGGTGCTGTAAAAACAAAGGCTCCAAATGGGCTGGAACACGTCGGGCTTGACATGAGAAACCCATCAAGCAGGTCGAATTCGGAACGGCTAGCCCTAGTCTCTGGTGCTCTTCCTCTACATGCGCAACACTGCTATATGTAGAGTGTACACAATGAAGCTAGATTGCTTGAACATGCTAACCTGATTCGAACATAACCTGCGGGAATGTTATTCTCCGCGTTACTCTCCGGGTGCCCGGCTGGAGTACCCCACCAGTGGCTGAGGAACCAAGACTGGGCATGATACTGCGTCAGGGCTTGGGGTCTAGGGCGGCTTCCTCATAGCACATTATAGTACATTATAGTGATACATCAAAGTACATTAAAGTAAGTTTAAAGCACACTAAAGTACATTCTAGTACATGTGGTACCTTATGGTTCATTATAATACATTACAGTATACTTTCATATGTAAAATATGTAGTTACAGCGCAATATAGTATGTTGATAGCTTGTACTAGGCAGAACTGTCCGCAAAGATTTTTCGACGGGGGGGTGCAAGACCCAACATCCCCATGACTCCACTGGACTTTTCGGGTGGTCCTGCTACCTAGGGTTTAGGGTTTAGGGCTGAAGGTTTGAAGTTTAGGGTTCAGGGTGTAGGGTTTAGGATTTATGGTTTTGG